CGTGCTCGGCCCAATCTCTGCATGGTTTCTAAAGGGTAGTGGAAATGGGGCTGATAGGTCCGTCTGATCCGCAGCCTTATTGGAGCTCAGCGGTTAAACTGTTCTGAGTCGAGCTTCCTACCAGCTTCCCGCCAGCAAACAGAGCCATCTTGGTGGAATTGGAGTGCAAACAGATCTGATGCTCTCCAGGAGTGTGGGAGGTGAAGGTGAAGCGTCCCTCTGAGCCGTACTGACGAGACAGGATGATCTGGAACAAACCAGCAGACAGACCCTCAGCGTTAAAGTGACGGCTTTCATAGGAGCATCTCCTCTCAGTCTACCTTTGTGTCCGGATCCTTGATCTCCACGTGCATCCCGAGGCCCGGGGTGGAGGGAAGGAAGGAACTGGTCTGCTTGTCCCACAGCTGAGTCCGGTACTTTCCTGCCAAACAGGTCAAAATCCTTCAGCGTTTCAAAGCACGGCAGCTTGAAATGATCGTTTTAACAATCCTAGTCTGTCCATTTTACAGTAGAGCGATAATGGCGCCGTGTGCGAAAGGTTTCAATAAGACGTCTGGCTTCACATGCCGACCCACTGGACCTACTGGTTCTAAACTGGAAACAGGCTTCAGTGCTAAATGGCTTTACTCATTTATAAACGTCTAATTTTGACCAAACATCACTTTGTTTTCCTGAGTCAGACCAAGATTTAAACAAAAAAACAGCCCTAAAAACAGTTTAAACTCAAATTATGTCCCTGGCAGATCAGGGTATAAAATAATGTTCAAATAATCTGTTTATTGTACATAAAAAAGGCTTTTAATAATACTTTGGACTTTATTGATCTCACATTGGAAAAATTCCCTCTCTGCATTTAATCCATCCCTTTGGGGAGCAGTGGGCTGCCATTGCACGGCGCCTGGGGAGCAGTGTGGGGTTAAGGGTCTTACTCAGGGACCCAGAGTGGCAGTCTGTGGGGATCGAACTTGCAACCTTCTCACATCACAGAGAACTGCTCTAACCACTAGGCCAGCACCCCCCTTACCTCGATCCTTCTAAACATACTAAGGTGGGACGGTTGATTGATTTGATCAACGTTTGTTTTTTTTTTAACGAAGATTTCATTTTTGGGAAAGAAAATATTTTTTTACTAATCCACCCTACGGGCTTCCGTAACTCAGAGCAACCATAGTTCTTCACTCTATGGAGCTTGGATGTCTTCTCATAACTGGGAAAGCAGCTCGCTGTGTGATTAAAACTCGCTGCAAAAATATAATTACTTTTAATTTCATTGTTTGTTGTGAAACATGATTAAGTCATATTATCCAGCCGTATGGTAACCTCATTAGCATCAGAGCAGTTTGATCAGAACTGTGGAGCACATAAACATGCCATGGGATCGTCACTGGGCTTTTAAATCCAATTAAATTAACTGTTTGAAATCTGATCATTCATTT